CACGTTTAACGCCAGACATCCGGGGAAGATAACTTCGCAATAGGTATGTTTTGGAATTTATTCAAACTGGATCTGTTGCAAATAAAAAACGTGATCATCGGAGACTTTTGGATGAAGCCGCAAAAGTTAAAGCTTTGGGACATTTTGGAATAAATTCTAATACTTCATTACGCAAAATTGTTGCTGCGACTGGTATTTAATTAGGCTCTGTACACACAGTTACGAAAGTCCAAAAAAGTATCCATTCAAAATGAAAATAGTGCAAGAGCTAACCGAAGATGATTTCAATAGGCGAGGTAAGTTTTATGAACAAATGACTACAGCGATTAATGATAATATCATTCATGTAAAGAATATCTGATTCAGTGATGAATGCACATTTTATCTTAATGGTATAACTGCAGGTACTTTGGCAATGAAAATCCTCATGATTTTGTAGAAGGGCATACCCAGTAACCCCAAAGAATTAATGTATGGGCATGCATTTTAGGAAACAAAGTGATTGGGCCACTGTTTACTAAAGGAAATTTGAATGGAGACATTTATTTGGATTTGTTGGAAAATACAAACAATCTGCATGAAACCATTGAAAATCAAAGAGGATGGAAGCCCTATACTTGATGAGGCTGAAATGTATTTCCAGCAAGACGGCGCTCCTGTTCACTATGTTCTTCCGGTTCCGCAATAGATAGACGACAAGTTTCCAGATAAATGGATCGGGCGAAGAGGGCCTACAGAATGGCCTGCAAGATTTGACTTCATTAAACTGTTTTCTATCGGGCTATTTAAAATCTATTGTGTTTACTCTACAACCTGAAAGTTTGGATGAAATTCGTCAACGCATCATCAAAAGTTGCCATGATATCCCACCACATGTCTTTGAAAATGCACGTCAGGAATTTAAACATCGCTTATATCATTGTTTGGCCAATAACGAGTAACATTTTAAACACTTATTTAAATAAAAAGTGATATTCTCTTGTGTTTTTGTTTTCTATCTAAACAATTTAAGATAAATAAAGATTTTACTAATTTCCTTGAAAACAAATCGATCGATTTTGAAAAATCAAACGTCAAAACACACGACCTCGAAAGATTTGCCAACCAAGCTATTACCCGATAGCTCTTGTCATTTAAAATTTTGAAGGGGATGACCCTGGGGGCCAAATAAATGGACCGGAGAGCAAATATATAGTATAACTTCAGAAACAACCGAAATACTTCAAAACCAGGATGTTGTGCACTGCGCGCCAATGGTATAGATAATTGAAATGAGCCAGAACATAAATACGTATTTTAAAATACCACTACTCGTAAACATAGCTTTCATTGCCAAACCCATCAACCGGCGTATTGTCAGTAGTACGCTTTACACGGATTTTGCATCAAATATTCGAGCAAATTCATCTCCAGAAGGGAAAAACTGGCAATTACTATACGACACTTTATTGGCATTGCAATAACTACTTCGAAAATACTAGTGACGTTGAGAATATTTATCTGTTTTTTCATTTAGGACCAATATATCCCAATTTCATTGATCTAGTTTTAGAAACAAGTTTCCTGAATGAATGCATTATGAAATTAAAGGCATACATGTCACCGGCGTATAGGTCTCTTGAACGGCCCTTACGCAACCCTACATTTCCTAAGCCTCAAGCCCTTTTAGCAAAGTTGAGAATAGGCTGGAGTCCCAGCACCTTAACATTTTGGGAATCCAAAGTGATGGACTCAGTATAGTCTGCCTGTAGTATCTCAGAGCCTCATAGCGACGCGGAACATGCGTCGAGGTCTCTTCGTCTATCTGGCAGCACTCACACAAGGGATCCTCAGCCACCCCCATCACATGCAGATACCGCCTCAACGTGTTCTGGCCAGGAAACTATCCCACCAGCAACCTTAGGTGGGCTTTATCCTAAGATAAGCAAAAGTGTTCGTCCCTAGCACTAGGCCCTACGATGAGCTCCCTTGCTTGACGAAGATGCCTAGATGTGCTTCTCCATCTCTCAGAGTGTTCCCTCGAAATCCACTGCTCGATTTTCCTGATGACAACGAGCTTGTCCGCTGATCCTGCTTTTGCAAGAGCGTCCTCCATATCATTGCCCTTCATTCCAGCGTGTCCCGATAACTAGCGATACCGAATGCCTTGCGATAGCGTATCCAGAGCCTCCCTGCATTGCAATACAATTGTGTCTTCATTGCAGTCTGGCTGGCTGAGAAGGTTATTCTTCTGCTAGGCCCTTCCTCCTCCAAAATGCGGGATATGCAAGATATAATCGCAAAGATTCCCGCTTGAAAAATAGTGATTTATCCAACCGAGAGGCAGGGAAAGCCTAGTTCTAGGCCCAAAGACTCCGATGCCTCTCCAGATGTACCAGATCTGCCCACTCTCGTCGGAGACCCTCCGGCTTCTGGCGTTTCACCCCATCCTCGTTGGATACCCCAAATTAAACTTGCGAGGGGCTATTAAGGGGTGTCATGTAAAAAACCTTCAAAACGTCAAAAAAACCATAAGATGTCAACTTGCATACTAGTTAGTTTTTAGGGTGCAAACAGTCATTCCACGTTTGCTCACTTGGGTCGTTGTAAGCGCGATCCAAAGCGTCCATCCATGAAGGAATATCTGAACGATACGAGATACTTTTCACTTCCCAAAAATGCATTATTGGTTGCAGAGAGTCACTTAGTTCCACGACTTCAAATTGTAAGTGTTTAAAAGGTGACGAAGGAAGGTTTGGTTGAGTAGCAAGGCCGCATCTGGATGATTGTATTTGTCTGCATGTATATACAATTGATATATTTGCTATTTGAGAAAATTATTACTGACTAGCAATGAAATATATTTATATTAGCTGTGCCAGACGGCATGGGTATCATGTAATTAACCTATAAGATGTCATCTTGCAAACTAGGTAGTTTTTAGGGCGCAGTCATTCCACGTTTGCTCACTAGGATCGTTGTGAACGTCCATCTAAGGAGGAATCTCTCAACTAAGCTAGACGCATTTTTGGTTGCATATGTTTAGTGAGGCCAAATGGTCTTTGTCTATAGTTTTTATCTCTGAGAGGAAAGTTGGTTGAATAGCAAGATCGCGTCTGGATGATTATGTGTATTGGTCTGCATACCTATAAAATGATGATATTTGCTGGGTGAGAAAATCATTACTGAATATGCTGCCAATGAAGTATATCTATTGGCTGTGCCTGACGGGTTACTTTTATGTTGTGCTTTCTGAAGAGAGGTTATGTTCAAAGTTATAAATTACGAAAAACTGAGGAGAATTACGGAAATCACCGCGCCCGCGTTGTGTGTAATTACTGTTAGCATGTATATGGCTTGTAATTCGACAGTTTACAGTGAATATAATTGTTTATTATCTCTCTCATTTTTGAAATTCAACAAATTTGTATATGTAATTTCCAGAATAGATAAGAAAAAGTGGATGCGCAGCTAATTTCTTGCTTTGAATCTCAATTAAGTGTATTTGAGACAAGAACCCAATGTAATTATCATCAACACATATAACTTACAGCTTAGACCTCCAGTAATGCCATCTCAGAAGCAGATTCTACATCACAACAGAGCCAAAGATTGATAACAAGCCTCATGACGTTTAGGCAACACGTACAACTAAGTGCTAAGTTAGTATCTTGTAGAAAAACCTACATAATGTAACAAAAGACAGCATAATTTCAAAAAAAATATCGGCATAATGTCACTTTTCAAGATTCGTGATACCCGTGCAGATCACCCCTGCTCATGACTGGATCCTCCCTTTGCAGTTCGACTAAGATGGCAGTGTGGCCTTTCACAGGATTCAAAAAGGCCCAGCTGCCCTGAGTCCACAATCGACGTGTGACTACTCTCGCCTCTCTGCGGACGACAAGATTCAACGGCGGGAGATCCATCAGAGCAGCCATTGTACCCAATGGCGTTGTCCGCACTGCGCCTGTAATACTGATATAAGCCAAACGCTAAATTTGATTGAGTTTGGCCTTAGCTCTCCTGGTTCCCATGCAAGGTCATCAAACCGGAAGCCGTACAAGAGAGATGGATATATTATCGTCATATAAAGCCAGTGCACCACTTTGGGATTAAGTCCCCACCTCACTCCGACAACACACATACATACTCTCTCCCTCTCTCTCTCTCTCAGTTTGCAGTCCAGCATAATTCCTAGATATTTTGCAAATGTCTTTGTACGTAATAGTTATGCCGTTCAATTAATTGTAGAACTTTAAGCCAATACATTTTTCCACTCTGGAGATATATTTTATCCATAATTCAGTTACAATGATTTAGAAATTATAACTCATTAAGATGACATGTTTATAAGAAGTCGCTGTATTATGCTTAGGTGTATTTTTTACCCCTGTTTTTTAATCACCCAGTGCACAACAAAATTACCTATTTCAAATTGCGGTTTTGTTTTTAAAAATCTCTAGATACAGCCCAAAAGCTTTCCATTCCACATGTAGAGCTTTACTTGACATTTGTCACACACGAATCATTGACTTATCCATTGTGGTTGGTGCTCACGTATATAGTATTTTAATGTCAACCTGATCGCCCGAATTTTAAGCTACTGATTATTGTGAAATAGAGTTATTTAAAATTTGTCATACTTGGAACATTGACTAATCATATATCAAGTTTAGAGAAAAGGAATCAAATTTGAAAAAGCGTCTAATTTGAGACAGTGGTGTAGGGGAGACCTAGGAGAGTTGTGACAATTTTTACATAAGGGGTTATCTCGCTCAAGAAATATTCCACAGTTATGAATCATGTGAATTAATTTAGCTCCATTCCTTTTGTTTTCAAAACCATCACCAAAATTAATTAAAGTATTATAGTTTCTGAAAAGACCACTCCCTCTGTCACAACTCTCCTGTCACCGAGGTAAGCTGTGACAGGTACCGAGGTAAGTTGTGACAGCATTGTATTTAATCTATTGGATATAAAAAAATTCCATTACATATAATATAAATAAATCAAACACATTTTTTACCAAAACAGTACTTTAATCATCTTTTAATACCTACCAACTAAAATATTATTATTATTATAATCAGTACAAAATCTTAATCTAATCAGATTCACAATTATGACAAACGTAATGCAGCTCGTCTCCAGTACCTACAATCTACGTGTGCCTAGCCCTTGCATTCCAGGCATTGAACCCACTGCTCATTCGATCTGCTGTCTGCATGGGCTTCAAGATAAACCAAACAAAAGCAATTATTTGCTGCTTCTTCTTCATCACTTGTTCTATTCTTCTTATTAGTCTTCTTAACTTTTTTAGGTTTCTTCTTTTCTTTGCTTAAGACACGCTTCTTAACATTCTTAGACTTCATATTAGCGTCTATAGCAGCTATTTCAACCTTCGTGGGAGTATCAGGAAGAACAGCAGATTTGATTTGACATCTAAAATTAATAAAAAACATTGTGAAAATAGCGCGGCAGAAAAATAGCGCAGCAGAAAAATAGCACAGCAGAAAAATGGATTAAGATAGAAGAGTTGTGACAGGCTGTCACAACTCGCCTAGGTGTTTAAAGTGACGACTGGGTCCGAATAATCATTCATATTTTCTAAAAACGATGCGCACACAAAAAAGAGACTTGAATAACTGTAAAACTTAAGAAAAAATAACACATGAATGCACATATACTAAGACATAATATATATTCAAATAAAATTTTGAAGAAAAACTTACTTTTCGCATTTTTTTGTACACTGACGATATATTGACGCAACCGCGCCTCGTGCGCCACCGGCAGGTACTCAGTCGAGTAGCGCGTGTCGAGAGCGACAAACAAGCGTTGTTGCCAGCTCGCTAACTACAATAGGTAGGGAGAAATCGTCCTTGTCACAACTCACCTCTGTTACAACTCTCCTAGTTCTCCCCTAACTTTATATCTTTGTAGCAGCATCTGCTAGTAATACCAAAAAGTTGTGAACTAAGATGCAGTAGTATTCTACATGTGTTTACAGTTTAGTTTTGCATATGGTTTTGCTGTAACATCACAGCTTGTTACTTCTTGAGAGTTAAAAATATTTGTATAGTGCGACAAAAATTAATAAATATATATATATATATATATATATATATATATATAAATATAATAAAAGTGATTACTAAGAGTAAGGTAAGTTACTTACAACAATTGGCTGATATAAATTTAGTAGTTTACAGATACCTTATTTATTTTACTTTACAATATTGTGATTTTGTTAGGTGTATAACCTAAATATGCTTGTGTAAACTTTTTAACGGAAAATTCCTAATTTGAGATACCCAAGTGTTCCTAATTAACTTTTTTGCTAATTAGGCCCTGTATCAAGATGTAGATGGCTGGAGACACAAGAGTAAGGAGATGGATTATTTAAAAGCCTCAAAAGGATTCGGGTGGATACCTTCCAACTCCAGTTCAAGTTCAGAATGCAGCGGAAGCCTTAAGTTGGATGATTCATCTTTAGGCGGAAGCAACATGAAGGCGATGCTGAATATTTATTTTGTACGGGTCGATTTTCCGAAGATAAGAAGGGTGAAAAATGGGCAAAATACAGCCATGTAGTAGATTTTGCACATAAAAATAGTGAAGAGATTACCAATCAAATTTTTATTTGCACTTTCTGCAAAAGAAAGGGATTTTTTGAATAGAATCTCAAATTAGGGAACCAGCTGTAAATTTACAAAAATATTTACTTTTTTTTAAATATACTTTTTTTCTGTAAAAAAATACATTTAATATTATTTTTTTATTTTAGGGTATGCTAGGAGCACAAATCGCAAGTTTATTTAAAAAATTTAAAAAGTACTTTATTTTTCCTTTTCAAAAAAAAGTATCTCAAATTTGTTTTTATTTCCTCTACTGTTAACGACCAAGTATGTGGTATTGTGGCAACACCATTTAGGTCCAATTATTTACTAACTATTCCACTTGAATAAGTTCAATTAGCTGTAACTCTATGCCGAGGTTTGCACATTCAGCGTGCGTCATGAACACGACTGTTCGCCCGTCGATGATCAGCCAAAAACAAACAACTTGTCCGCAAAATATATGTCACTCGAACATGTACATCTCTAGAACTCTCTCAAAGCTAACCTCACTCCTTTAGCATGCCATTCATCACTCATGACGCATATTTCAATACTACCACATCCAATGTGTCAACAAAACTCCTTTTCGGACGCGTTTCCAGAGGCCACATGAAAGATGAATCTCACTCGAATTTCCGATGCTCTTATGACGTACAACTGCGACAGAAATGTATTTATAGTTCATTTGAAAATTCATAATGCCTTTCCATCGGCCTAAATGGGTATGATGAGATATTTTCCTTTACGCATAAAGTTCGCCCGTTATATCATCAACGCAACCGAAGTTTGGAAAAGGAAGAAATTGCTAAAATTGCCAAAGTTGCTTTGTAGGAATCTCTGGTGTATTTTCCACATACATGGATGCTTTCAAGTTGATAGACATCGGCTTATACGTTGTTGCTCTACCGAATACCGCACAAACACACACATATACAGGGTGACTTCGAAGTTGAGTCATTTATTTTAACAGTGAGTAGATCTGATCAAAAGAAATATTTTTTCCTTTATCATTTTTCTGGTAAAATTAAAGTAACAAAGTTATAGCCCTTTGGAAGTTTGAGTACCGCCCTGTCTCAATAATAATATTATGTGCTCGTGTTTGGCAACAACGGATATAATCCGCCTTATCCTTTCGTTGCATCGGAAACAAAAAAGCGAAAGAATTTGAAACGATGTTTTTACTACAATGTACAATTTTGTTCAGTTGTATTCAGTCGATGTGTCAGTCGGTAACGCGTGAGTGAATAGTGGTGTTTGTTGCGTGGCTCAAACGAAATAAAAAATGGCACATGTTTACGAAAATGCTGAATGTAGTACAAAGGGCTCGTGAATCAGGTGACTTAAGACCTCACAGGGGAGGGCATGCCGGTGCTCCAAGACCGCACGATCAAATACAGGTCCGCACTGAAATACTTGTCGGGAGAATACTTTATAAAACAACATAACATGTTTTTTCTATTTTTTTTTTATTTTTACACACATATTTTGGTTTATCTTCCTTCTACAACCATCATCTGAAAATTAATGACTCAACTTCAAAGTATACACCGAAAATGAGTACAATGAAACTGGCCGGATTTCTAATGAGTTGTTTATCATAATCTTCCGATTAAGGTCTCCATGGATACAGAATTCGCACAGTTTTCAGGTTATCTAAGGTCAAAGTTGAGAAGCGAAAGGTTGGGAGATCTCGAAACTGGAGATACTACAGACCAAAATATGTGAATTGACCTAAACATACATTAGCCCAAAGGCTGATAGTTTGCGAGACGGTGTCAAAGTTACAATTTTATGTTCCATTTTTCCTTACTGCTTGAGAAGTATTTCAGATTTTGGTGGTAAATTCTATATCGAAAACTATCAACTTTTGGACTGAGGTATGTTAAGGTCAATTCACATATTTTGGTCTGAGTATCTCCGGTTTCGAGATTTCCCAACCTTTCGCTGACACCCACCCTGTAAATGCCTGTCCTAGTGTTTCTTTGCTATTGAGGCCCTCTATAATACTAATGATCCTCAATAATATAATTGATGTTCTTAAGGAAAATATTCGTCGAGCTATTGATGAAACAGACCCACAAACTATCAAAAATGTGCTTCAAAATTGGGTTAAGAGGATGGACTACTGCTAGGCCAGCCGCGGCAACCATTTAACTGAAATCGTTTTTTATAAATAACCGGAAGGTGTATTCTTTTGAATAAGGTATCGAGTGTTACATATTATTGGAGAGTGAAGTTTTAATACCTCTTTGCCGCTGCTCAGGAATTTATGGCTGGCTAGCTAATGTTCTTTTGGTGTGAATGCTCTATAGCTTTACTAAATACATACATGTTTGTGTTGCATATATGAGGGATGATGGATACGAATAAGGATTGTATGCTATAAAGATTTGTTTCAATATACGCTAATACATCTTCACTCATAAGATTTCAAGAAATGCAACAGATGTTAAAACTCACCTTTTCTCGAAAACGTCAACTTGTAGCATACACCGTTATTCGTCCGAACGCTTCAAATATCTGTTATGACTACAAGAATATTATATATATATATATATATATATATATATATATTATATTAAGCTTTATCCATACGTTTTGCATGTAAATATTATGATAATGAATAAAATAGTCTTACCTGGCACTTTTAGTTTTACTCTCATGATTTCTGAAATACGCATTTTAATTCGATATTCTGAGTGGGAAAGCGGCTGGCAAAAACTCCCACGAAAGCTTCTCCCACGTGGAAAAAACTTTAAATCTGTTATGAAGAATATTACTGTGGAGTACCTAATAGGCGAAAATATCTCATGAAGCTGGATAGAAATAGGATTCTCACAAAATAAATTATCACTGATCAACAGCCAAAAAATATCCTAAATAAGTCCAACAAAATATTACTATTTTTAATGTGGTAAAACCGGAATGAAACTTATTTTTCAATATTAGTTCAAGTTTTAGATATACGGTAATTATATGTGTTCCTGCTGTGACAGTGTTAATATACTGCAATTCACAAGAATGCACGTGCTACATTTTTATATTCGGCAAGGAAAGATGATGTAATCGGCATGATTGTGTTACGTTATACATACGTGTACGTTATATTATTTTATATTAGCCATTTTTTCCTCAGTTGGCTGACAGCGTTCATGCAAGATGTCTCGAAAGTGTGTAAACAATCCAGATCAGTTTTGTTACGTGTGTGGTGATGTGACTTTTGCGTCTCAGAGAAGGTCTATTACTCCACTAATAACAAAGGCATATCAGCTTTATTTCGGTTGTAAACTAGGTGATCAAGACAAACAGTGGGCACCCCACATCTGCTGTAATACATGTGCTTCAAGTCTGAGGAGCTGGTTAAATGGCAAAAAACGGTCTATGCGTCAGGAAGAAGATATGCCATCAACGTCAAGAGATCCTGATTTTATACCGAGCACGTCACACCACCAACCGCACAAAATAACACAGTCAGAATTAAATGATCTTGTAAGAGATTTAGAACTTCCAAAATGTAAGGCAAAGTTACTTGGATCAAGACTGCAGCAGTGGAACTTGTTAAAAAACGATGTTTTCTGCAGTAACATTAACGGTTTACTGGCGGCTTTAAATATAAACTATAACCCAGAAGAATGGAGATTGTTTATACACAGTTCAACATTGAGTTTAAAGGCAGTGTTATTGCATATTGGAAATATTTTACCATCTCTTCCTGTAGGGTATGCAGTTCACATGAAAGAATCATATGACAATATGAAGTACCTATTGACATGCATAAAATACGATGAGCACCAATGGCATATTTGTGGCGATCTGAAAGTT